CACACACACACACACACACACACACACACACACACACACACACACACCATAATAGTCCAGGTACATGACAAGAGATCACCAACATGAGTGAGGGTCACTCAGGCACCCTCGGCTGTTCCTCCTAGCCACCCACAGGCACAGCTGAGTGAATCCACAGCTTCTAGACAAGACAAACAGAGGTCGGCTCTATGTCCCATTGCCCACCCTCAACTCGCACTACAGACAAGGTCTGCTGAGGAGCAGATGGGAGCCCGCCAGTCAGTCACCATCAGTGACAACTGAGCTTCCCAACTCAGAGTCCCTCGCCCTCCTGCATTCTTTGGGCACAGACAGCGCTCAGGACAAAGCTGGTGCTGAACTCCTGAGAACGGAAGTAAAGCATCCTCTACCTAGAAAGCCCTGAGGAGACGTGGCCTGCCCAGGGAGCCCCAGCCTGAGGAGGTTCGGGCTTCCTCTCTAAGACCTCTAAAAACAAAATAAAACAAAACAAAAAAACCACAAAGGCTCACAGTGATGTCATAGCTGCTGCTCTTGAAAATTTTCCTCTTCAAATGGGGAGAGAAGGCTTGCTCCTTCAGGTAACCCCTAGTCCTATATTCAAGAAGGAGCCTGGGCTTCAGGACCTGCTCCTCTGAAGAAAAATGACAGCAGCTCCCAGAAAACAACAGTGTAAAGGGAAATCAGCGGGGACCCGACACGGTCTCAGCAGAGCTGGGAGTGGGCTCTCACCTGTGCTCTTCCAGTGGGGATGCTGGGGCAGTCCCCACCATGCCCTGTCTAGGAGATGAGGGGGAGGAGTGATTTTTGGCCCCAGACTCCACGGAAGAGCAGCAGCGCTCCCCGGATCTAGGAAATGCCTCACCCATTGCCTCCCCGACGGGAGAACTTGAATCTTCCACCAGGGCCAAGAAACAGAGTCGGGGGTCAAGGGAACAAAGCAGTTTAGCACGGGAGAGTAAGGAGGGCAGCTGAAGTCAGGGGCCGACCGTGGAAGATTTAGATTCTGTGAGACCAAACAACTCGGATCAGCGAGATGGATCCGCAGGCAGAGTGGCCTGGCACCAAGCCTGTGCCCCGACTTCAGCCTCCGGGACTCATGTGATAGGGGAAAGAACCACCACCCACAAGCTGCCCTCTGACCTCCACGTGGGCGCTGTCATGCGTGCCTCCCCTAAATGAGCAAATAAATGCGATACAGATATCTTAAAGACCAGCTACAGTGCCCGTGGCTGGTCAGCGTTAGTGGCGACTGCTTCCTGTGGGAAGGCCAGCCCCAGGGGACACCCACCCCCAGGAGACGCCCACCCCGAGGGGTGGCCTTTTAGTACAGAAAGGTCAGTTTCCCGGCCGCAGAGACCATTGCTTTGTGCCAGGGAGACTCACTGCCTGTCCTGAGACAGCCTTCGTCCAGTGCAGCCGTGTCCCTGTCAGTCAGGCCTTATTCTCAACACCAGCCCCGCCACCCAGCCCAGTGCGGGCGGGCGCTCTTGACACCTTTCTTCTCCTTTCGTGAATAGCCGCTGAAGCGGGGGTCACCTCTTAAGGAGAGAGACATTATCTGAGTACTCAGCTTTGTAGCATTATAACTGTTAGAAGTGCCGTGTGTGTGTGTGTGTGTGTGTGTGTGTGTGTGTGTGTGTTGTGCACATGCATGTCCGTGCAGGGACACATACATGTGTACGTATGTACATATGTGCATGGAGGCCAGAGGCTGACGGTGGGGGCCAGGTCTCTCCTTGACAACCTCCCTACTTTTCAGACAGGATCTTCCTCCAGACCTGGAGCTCCCTGATTGGGCTAGCCTAGCACACCAGCCAGCCCCTCCCCTGTGCAGGCACACCCACCAGGCCCAGCCTTTTACTTGCAGCTTCGGATCTGAACTCAGGTCCTCTTGCAGGCAGCAAGTGCTTTGCCAGCTAAGCCGTCTCCTCGCCCGAAATCTGCATTTTCAGAGGCTCTAACGAAACTCTGAGAGTCTGATGGCAGCATGCTCAGTGGTGAATAGGGAGCTGGGCCCCAGGACATCTCTAAGGAATGGCTGGGTACATATAAAATCGGGGGATGGGGGACAGGCAGGCTCATGATCTCGTGTTAGCATCTTGAAGGGTCACTCTCAGGTCCTCAAATGCTTCTTCTATCTGGTGCATGAGTACTTAAAATTCTTTCTGGGGGTCCGGCCTTCTGGTAGATAACAAAGCCATCTTTGGCTGTAGATACATCCCAAGAATGGTGATGGGGACCTGGGCCAATTTGTGGGAAATGACGCTGGTGTCAGAGCCTGCCCACAGCCTGTCTATAGGGGAGGAAGTAGGGAGTGGGGTAGGGAGAAGGAAGCTCGGGAGCCAGAAGAGGGAGAAAACACAGCAGAAGACTTCCCAGAGCTGGCACAGACCCCAGCACACAGTAGGCACCGTACCCTACATGCACCATGCACACAGTAGGCACCGTACCCTATGTGCTCCGTGCACACAGGAAAACAGAGCGGCCTCTGAGCGGCCAAGAAGCTTCTCAGCCAAGAGGCTCAGGAGCGTGCAGATAGGAAGAAGGAGCCTAACTCCTTCTAACACAAACAGGATTCTAACTCCCAGCTCTCTGCCTCCAGGATCCAAAAAAATCAGCCGCCAAAGTTGTGCCAAGAGTCAACCGTGGCCAGGTGCCATTTTCCCCTGGGTTTGGATTTCCACACATGCCACTGCGGCCCCAGACAGCCGGCATAGCTCTGGGCCCTGCTCAGGGCCAGCTCGGGGGTAGGGAGGGGGTGTATACGTGGATGTGTGCCTTCCTGGCTTAGAGTCAAGAAAGCCCTGGGTCCCAGAGAAGTCCAGGCTGCGAGTTCATCTGTCCGTTAGCCCTCATTAACATCAAATATTAAAAGCCACAGCTGGAGACAGGCCAAGCCCATGGCCCCCAAATGCCCGTCTTGGCTGGAGATGGGTGGTCCGGGCAAAGCCCTGCTTATCAGCTCGGCTTTATCAGGCCTGTGAGGAGCTGGCCAATGACAGCACGGGCTTGGCTTGGTCTAGTCAATACGAGGAGACAACCAGGCGGCCGCATGCCAGGAGGCCCAGGGATATTTCATTAAGTCAGACCCTGGTGCTGGAAATAAAACCCCCAATTAAACACTTCGCCTCCCGGAAGCTGCCACGGCGTCTGTAATCAAGCTAACAGCAGCCCTTCCACGTGGATGGCGGGCACTCAACGCTGTGGAGAGCCGCTCACGAAATCTATTAGCTCCTGCACCCTGGCAACAGAGAGGGCTGGCAAGGGCCAGGGGGCCCCCCATTTCACAGATGGAGAAGGGGAGGCTCGGGGAAGCTGGCACCTCTTCCGAGTGTGACAGGATTGGGGCGGGGCAGCAATGAAGGGGCCAGCTCTGGGGTGAGGGTGGGGGACTGAGAGACTTGGAGCATCAGGACTTAGGGAGACAACAGGTTTCAGGTCCAGACTCAAGCGCAAATCCTGGTTCCACTCTTAGTCAGCTGTGGCACATTCCTCAGCTTTCCTCATCTATGAAATGGGGACCATTCCTGGGGGAGTGTGCAGGAACCCTCCCTCCCACCCCCCATGCGCACGGCAGATCCTCCATACACAGTCCCCGTGGAGGCCATGCCACCTCCCCAGCTCTACGAGGCCGGAGCTCCTGTGAGGCCCTGACTTGGGCCCCAGTCTCCACTTGGTAACCCTGGCCTGCTGGGAAATCTCCCAGGCAGGCTTGAAATTACATAGGGGAGGACGGCCTGTCAGAGTTTCTAAGAGTGATAGGCTATTTTAAAAGCATTTTATGACCCCCATATAATTAGAGTTAAGCTAACAAACAGGTAGGAACCTGGAGAGGGCGGCTAATGAGCCCGGGATGATGTACAGGAGCGGATCCCCGCTGGAGAGTAAATGGGGCTGCCAAAAGGCCCCAAGACAGCCGACAGGCCTCCAACAGGCTGGAGGCCAACACGCAGGCCGAATCCTCTTGTCTAGCATGGACCAGGCTCCTCCTTCCAACATCCTAATCTTGCTCCTCATCTGCTTCCCATCTTCCTACCCCACCCGGAGTCCCAAGTCCACGGTGACAAGGGTCAGCCCACAGCAGGGCCTGGAATAGTTTTCTTGGGACCTCCAAGGCCTGAGCATTCTCCCTCCTTCTTCCCCTGCCTCTGCCTGTTCACCTTGCCTGGCCCCAATGTCACCCACCCTGATGTCACACCCCAGGGGCAAAAAAAACAACCAAATAAAAAAGATGTCTCTGACTTCCCCCACCTGCCTCTGCCTGGGCCACAAAGTTGACCCCTCCTGCTCCGTGTGGCACCCCTGCCCATGTCACGCAAGCGATGTCCCTAGCTTCTGACAAGCTCGGCCACGGCCATTGGTTTGAGTTGAGTCTGGTTCTTTATGAGGCCACCCACTCCTCTGCCTTGCTCTGAACCCCAGAAGGCTCACTCCTTCGGTGTTGCATTGCACAATTCTTGCCTTCCGTTACTGGGTTTGGTCAACAGGTGACACTAGCAGAAGACACTAGGATGAGAGAGAATTACCTCCCTCACCCCTACACCCCCCCCGGAGTCCCCTTACTCCCCCCTGGAGTCTGGGACTCTGGTCCATGGCGTCGCCCTTCTGTGGTCTCTTTAGCCTAACTTCGGCCATCTTGGAGACCTCTGGCTACAGGCCTGCTCCTTTCGTCTCGGTATTCTGGGGGTGCTGAGCTCTGTCCATTATAATCCCTTCATATCTCCCATTGGGCATGTTTTCCAGTGACCCTCTCCCCCCCAGAGACAAGGCCCTCCTGTCATCTCCTTGTCCCCAGCTCATGCTGTGAGTTATCTTCACTAGCTGCTCCCTGAGGTAAGCTAAGAATGCTCCAGAGATGCTCCTTTCTTCATCCCCCACAGCCCCGGGCAGGGTTAGGGAGCCCCTCTGCTATCGAAAGTGGGTGCCTCTGTGGGTCCCCGGCTCTAGAGAGAGGAGGCAGAGCTGCCAATCTGGGTGTCAAGAGAAAGGTGGGGGGAGTAAATTAGCCTAGCGAGAAGGGAGGGAAGGTGGCTGGCAGGGGGCCTGTGCAGAGGCCGTTATCTTCATGGAGAAAGCAATAAAACCGTGTTCGCTCATAAACGGGCACCACCAGGACCTATTTCCTGCTCAAATAAAATTAAAGGTGATGGATGGAGCCACAAGCGCAGGCAGAGCTGGGGGCGCTTAGTGCTGAGTGATAGGCTCTGTCCCTTGCCTGGCTCCCTGGGGTCTAGGGGCTCAGCCAGGATGCCCAAGCAGAGGTCCCAGACCTTCGAGGCGGGGAACATGTGTGCCATGCAGGAAGGCATAGAGCTAGTGGGGAAAGAAAAATGAATGGAGACTTGTCCCCCCTTTCCCAAGGATCCCCAATCCTCTTCCAGCTGCATCACTTGACTCCATCCTAGCTCCTGGGCGAGCATACAAACCAGAGCACAGAGAGGTCTCAGAACTGCTCCTGACCATACAGCTCCTTGGGGCATCAGCGAGCGTGGCTCGAGGGGAAAGGGCAGAATCCCTTTGCCCTTGCTAAGGTGTGTCCAGCCAACGGAGGTCATTCAGACCACTCACCTGTCTCCAGACCCACTGACTAGCTTCCCAGGAAACCCAGCTCAGCAATTAAACAATGAAATGCAGAGATTAATCCAGCCTCCTGGCCTGATGCCCGGGTCTGCCAGGCCAGCTAGCTGTGTGTCTTGGAAAAGCCATGTCATATCTCTGTACTTCAACTTCCTCGCCCATCAGGAAGATAGGGGTAATTGCCTCAGAGAGCTGTAGGCAGGATCGGATGAGTGTCTTGCCTGTCAACGGACCAACGGGTGCTGAGGAATTCTGAGTGAAGGGGCCGCCGAGCCCCTCGGAGCCCGCCTCTTTTAGGCTCTGGTTTGTCCCCAGGAGCACAGGAGAGATGGGGGAAGCCTTGCTAGAAGACCTGCCTGGGTCTCATCAGACCATACTTCATAATAAGGAGTTTATACTTGGTCTGCCCAGGCCGCCTCCTCCAAGAAGACCGCTGGCTTTTCCCAAGCCTGACTTCATTCCTATGCACACTCACAGGCTGGGTTTCTGCTGAGAATAATGGCTAAGAAAAGTACTCAGGATTCCACCAGTCACCAGCTCATTTGGAACAAGACACTTAAGTGTCTCAGGGGCCCCAGTTTCCTCCTCTAAACAAGCCTGTCCCCCGAGAAAGCGGTTAGGGCAGGACTGGACACAGATTCGGTATTAGCCATCATTAGCTTATAAAGTGTATTTCCTGGGCTGGGCGAATGGCCTGCTCTGTCAAGTGTTTGCCGTGAGAGCTTAAGGACCTGTGCTTAATGCCACAGCACCCACGAGAGAGGAAGGGCGTGCTGGCGTGCGCCTGTAATCTCAGTGCTGGGGACGCCGAGAATGGCAGGCCCCCAGGTTCGCTCAAAAGGCAGTCTAGTCAGGGTGGACAGTCTGTGTGGCCACAAGCCAAAGCTGACCGCCGCTGTCTACTTGGAGGGCCACACTTGTGGGCCCACACCTGTACATAAACACAGACCGAACATGTATGGGCATGCACATGCACACGCAGACACACATACACACACACACCAGGCAATGACATCCCCTTTCTCATTGCTGCTTTAAGTCATATTCCTCCTCTGCCTGCAGGAGCATCAGGACACCTCAGAACACCCCAGGCAGTTCTGACTCCCGTCACTGCTAACCATCCAACCACCAGAAGCAGGCGTTCGTTCTACCCTCCGGGAGGCCTGAGGACATTTTCGGCTACAGGAACTGAGTCGCAAAGGAAGGGAGGACATGTCCCATCCTGCCCCGGAGTCCTGGGGACAGGGAAGGGAATCACTCACCACTGCTGGCCCAGGGCAGGTACCAGGGGCAGCTGACGTTCACGAAGGAACCTGGGGGCCCGTCAGGCCAGCAGGCATAGTCATCAAAGGTTCGGTTGCAGAAGAGGCCTGCAGAAATGGTAGAGCCATCTGTGAATCCCAGGCTGTCATTTCTCCTGCCTTCCTGCCTCCTCCTCAACCACTGGAAGCTACACTCCTTCAACCTCTGCTGAGTGCTCCCTAGATTCGGAGCACTCTACCCAGGGGGCTTACTGGATGCTGAGCACCCCCCCCCCCCAGGGCTCACTGGATGCTGAGCACTCTCCCCACAGTGCTCACTGGCTGCTGAGCACCCCCCCCCCCCCCGGGGCTCATTGGATGCTGAGAACTCTCTCCACAGGGCTCACTAGATACTGAGCACCCTTCCCTCAGAGCAGGGACCAGGGAAGGATCCTGTCTCTCATCAGGGGCAGGGCCTTAAGCAAGTTCCTTAACGACTCTATGCCCCCTCTGCGGCATGAAGCTATGCCCTCGTCCACAGAACTTTGTTATAACATGCTGTGTAGAAGGAGTATAGTAAGGGCTCAACAGACAGCTCCTATAAGGCACAATTGAGCTGTTCTTCACAGAGGGGAAGAAATGCTGGCTCACGAGGCTGAGGAGACCTTCCCCAAGTCACTGATAGGAGATAGGATTTGAACCCAAGCCCAACTGGCTCCAATGCTGTGATTTTAAACAACCTTATAACCCCCTCCACCACACACACACACACACACACACACACACACACACACACACACACAC